ACACTGCTGGTCAAGAGAGGTATTAAATTGTGCTATATTTGTTTTCTTTAATATTTTCATATTTTAAAAAGTGGGGTGACGGAAACTTCCTTCAACCCTTTATCTATCACAAACACGAGAGAAGGATTTCTTGGTTTTCCTTATACGGGTATCTTCGCCCGGCCCCACTTTACTATCGGGGTCTTTGCGGTTGCGTAGTGGTTTATGATATAACAAGCCCGAATCGTTTCAAAAGCTCGATCTTGGGTAAAGGTAGGCGCTCGGGGATTGCGCGAGTTATATTTTAATGCATACTTTTCTGTATACCTCTTTCTTTATAGTGAATTTTGGTGGAAGTTGTTGGAGATTGATCCACAAAAACCTTGTAGGCATGACTAAACACTGACTGGGTTTTAAAGTGAGTAGCAAGTACCACCTTTATTTTTTTTGACAGAATGATGTATGGTATGAAAAGAAAAGCAGGATTTCATATTCTCTGTGGTGAAAGCTGGTGTTAAAATGGGTTGTTAACCTGTGTAAATAGGAATTTCTCGTGCCGTCATCATCTACTTCTGTACTTCTTTGTTTGAACAGGCGAACAAGACAACCCAAGTTCTGTTTTCGGGGTGTCCTTCTTAAGAGAAGATGTAGGTGGTCAAGCAAAAATCTAAAACACGAACCCGACCCGAACACGACACGACCCGACCCGATCGCGCAACTATATCATGTTCGGGTCTTGTTTCGGGTCGGGCCAAGCAAACATATGCATTGTTTCGAGTCGGGTCAGGTATCAAGAAAACCCGACCCGACCCGACCCGTTGACACCCCTACCGGCAATCCTCGCTGGCCACAATAAAAAAAAGTAAAAAAGGAAAATAGAAGAAAAGAAAAAAAAAGGAAAAAGAAAAACATATCATTAAAAAATTGATAAAAATATTAATAAAAATTCTCCGCATTAGCACCGGCCATGCAATGTAGCATGGCCCGCATCTACGTCAACGATTTCAGGTCAAAATTGACCGAATGGACTCGATTATTAAAAGGTGAAAAGTTTTATGACTTAATTGGCAAAACATTTTGACAAAAAAAAAAAGCAAAACGTGAGAATGTTTAGGATTCAATTGATACAGTCGAAAATTTTAGGACCGCATTGGTAAAAATGCAATAGGTTTAGAATTTTTTTTTTGTAATTTTCCCTTCTGTCCAACTTGATTAACAGAAAATGCAGATGTTAATTTTTTTTTAATCATTTTCTCCAACTCGCGTGGCACTGGAACGGCTAAAATAATCAGAATTAATCTATTGCGTTTTTTTAAAGTGGAGTTTAATTTCTAACAGAGGATGATCTGCGAGAATTTACGATCGATTTTTGATAAACCAAAATTGACCCCGTGCCCTTTTTTCTTGATCAGCGAGAATGTTGAAAAGGGACAACGAGCATCTGGGCCCCCGTGGCATATAGCTTTATCACAAGAGTTTCGTACCCGCGACGAAACGTTTTGATTGAGCCATGATCTCTATTTCCTTAAGATGAAAGTGGAGATCGGGAGGATATATTATTAAATGCGTCCTTTCCGAAGTATAGATCGCTGGTTGCGGGACGTTACCGCCACGCGCTAGCGGGGGGGAGGGAGAAGCTGATGAAGAAAAAGAAACAGTTCTGGTTCTTCGAACGGAGACACCTGATGATGTCCGGATTCTTGTCACTATAATTTTTGTAGAATATTATTATTTTTTATATCATTAAAGAATAAATATGGTGAAAGCTCTGACCCTTTTCCTTCTAATCGCGACGCTTGGATTGTTTAGTTAGGGTGCGCATGAATACCATTCTGTGCCCGGGAGCTATTTCTGAACAGAAATGATTTTTTTTTATTCTGTGCCCGGAAACAATTTTCTGAGTATTTGAAGGCGTTTAATAAACTGTCCAAAATTTCTATTCCTAGAGTAGAAAAGAACAGAAATGTGTTTGGTAACTACACAAAATTTCTGTTCCCAAATAATATTTTAATAATATTTTGAATTGTTAAAATTATTTTTTTTTTACCCATTTTCTTCTTTGGCCATGGCCTGTCACCGGCGACCGGCCACAGCCCAGGGCCGGTGAGGGCGTCACGGCCCTCGCCGGCCGCCGGCGGAGGCGAGGGTCGCCCTCACCGGCGAGAGCGAGGGCTGGACCCTCGCCGCCCGGGCGAGGCGGCCTCGCCCGGAGACGCCGAGGCTCGGCCTCGCCCGGATCTGGCGAGGCCGAGCCTCGCCGTCGCGACCCACGGCGGCCGACCTCGCCGTGGGTCGCGACGACGAGGCTCGGCCTCGCTCGATCCGGGCGAGGCCGCCTCGCCCAGCGGCGAGGTCTAGCCCTCGCCCGAGACGGCCGAGCCTCGCCGGTCGGTCGCGACGGCGAGGTCGGCCTCACCCGAGACGGCGAGGCTCGGCCTCGCCCGGATCCGGCGAGGCCGAGCCTCTGTCGCGACCCACCGGCGAGGTTGGCTTCGCCGTGGGTCGCGACGGCGAGGCTCGGCCTCGCTCGATCTGGGCGAGGCCGCCTCGCCCAGGCAGCGAGGGTCCAGCCCTCGCCCTCGCCTCCGTCGACAGCCGGCGAGGGCCGTGACGCCCTCGCCGGCCCTGGGCTATGGCCGGCGGTTGGCTCAACCAGGGAAGAACAACACCACAAAATAAGAAAAGAAAAAAAAAACTGATTCTCAAAATTGTGCCAAGAAACAAGAAGCAACTTTTTTTTACTTCTTGTTTCTCTTCCAAAACTGTTTCTCGGCACAAATTTTTGCAAAAATGTGCCCAGGAACAAAAAGTTTACCAAACGCATTTCTGTTCCCAAATTATTTCTGGGAACAAAAGAACAGAAATTTTTACTATTTGGCACGTTACCAAACAGGCCCTTAGAGGGCCAATTGGCATGCATTAACAAATGTCAAGTTGACGCTTCACTCGTGAATATTAGTCAAGCCAATTAGATTGGTCAATAAGTCAAGTCCCGTTACAGATAAGATTGAGCTGTTAGAATTAACATAAGTCATACTAAGGCCGTGCCAAAAGGGGAAAATTTTGTTCCGAAAGGTATAATGCACCAAAGGAGATTTTGCTCGTGACTTTTTTCGCGATATTTAAAGTTATGTTTAGAGAGTCGCGTCTCTTCAAAATTAACACGCGCTCTCGCTCTGTTGGGTCCGCAAATACGCACAAGGACGACTGAAAAAATATAATGACAAATTCATGTTCGTGACTTTCGTCTCCTCCACTATATTATATTTCTCTTGAATGTACGGGTTTCGGTTCATGGTTGAAGATCACTTTGAAGTGCATCAATACTATGTTTTTATAAAGGCGGGATATTTGTAAAAAAATTCATAAAACTTATTGCACGTATACTAATTCAGTCTTAAACTTTTAAATTTGATTAATTTAGTCATAAACCTTTTGACAATTTGCCACTGTAATCCTTTCGGTTAATTTTGGCCATAATTTGCTTATGTGGACGCGAATTGTCCTATATAGTACGGTGCCACTAACGTCGACAATTTTTACAAATTTGATGCACTTCAAAGTGATCTTCATAATCAACAAAAAAAAGAAGGTGATCTTTATAAAACTTCATGCGAGTGTCTTTTCTTCGTTGAGCTTTTTTCTGCTTTCTTTTTTTAAATTGGATTTTCTCTATTTTCAATTTCTCATTTTATCTACATTTTGAACTCGTGGCCTTTATTCCACATCAGATTAAAGTAATATGAGTTTTTTTTTGTTTTTGGGAGGCCAATCATGTTTATTCCCCCCCTTAATGATGAAAAGTTGAAAACACATGATCATCGACAAGAATATGAATTGGAAGATAATTGCGCTAGCTGGGCCATGATTGTGTCACGACTGCACAGAATATTACAAACATGCCATCATGCCTATGCAAAAGAAAGCACCATTCCAAATTTGATAAAATAACAAACTGGGGGTGAGCATGGTCCGGGACCACCCAGGATCCACCCACCCGAGAATCAAATCGGTCCGATTTCTGAGTGGGTCTATAAAACTTTCACTCAAATGGAGGTGACTAAGAGCGAGAGAGAGAGAGAGGCGATGAATGATTGGAGGCGCGGCTGTGAGTTAATGAGAGTTGAGAGTCGAGGCCGTAAGTCAATGGATGTTGAGCTTAAAAGTCGAGATCGTGAGTGAGAGATAGAGAAAAGACTCAGACAAGATGAGAGTGAGACGAGATGAGCACTCAGTAGATGGGTGTTGAGTTTCAAACTAGGAATTTTAAGGTTTATATTTTTCTTGAATTTTTTTCTTTTTTTTGGTTGGGAAATTTTCTTAAAAATTATATATATTACCGGTCCGGGTGAGTAGTGGGCGATTCCACATCTAAAATCGGGAACCAAACCGGTACTTACCAGCTTTAGTAAATTGAAATCGAGAATTGGACCAGTTCCCATGGGAATCGCAGGTTCCGGGTTGGTCCGATTCGGTTCCAAGTGGTTGCCGATTCCTTTGCACATGCCTATACTAGACCTTCCCAAAATTCGGATCACATAATTTGGTTTTATTTTAATTTAAGGTGCGTTTCATCAATAATTCGATTATATATCACAATTCAATCTACCATTCGACAATTATATATATCTTAACAATTAAGAGCGTGTTTGGAATTTTTCTTTTGCCTTTTATCTTTCATTTGATTTAAATCTTACTCACGGATGCACTTTGATTTTTTTTCATCCTAAACACCAATAATTTTACAATATACAGATAACGAAATATAAATTCACATATCCCATTATCATAATTTTTAAAATCCAAATGATATTTTAAATTTTTCTCAAAATTTGAATACCGTTTTAAAATCAATCGAGAAAATAAAAAAAAATTATAATTAAACGTAATTTCATAATTGAGAATGAAATTTTAGCGTAGGAATTCATTCTTGTACTTCAAAAAAGATAACAACATGAAGCAGAGCATTTTCTTGGCAATAAATAGTCAGGACCATGTGGACAGACAAAACGACACCGCACGGTGTTTCTTCCTCACGACTCGCTTCTCCTTCTTCTTCACACGAGATGATCAGAGCGCTTTGACATCGACAATGGAGAAACTGAGAAGAGCAGTTCGCGAGATCGCGTACTCGCGAGATCGCTCGCAGCTCTCCTCGCGGCACCGCTCTCTCTTGCCTCTCCTGTCAATCGCTTCCTCCGTGTACGGCGTCGCCCTCTCCCTCCGCCGCCACCTCTACCGCTTCCGCCTCTTTTCCAAGCACCGGTAACACCTCTCTCTCTCTCTCTCTCTCTCTCTCTCGCGAGTTTCAGTGCTCGAATCGAAGTTGAACTCGAGAATTTCGCCAGCTCGCATGAAGTTCATGTCAGTGAAGCGACAGCGTCTCGATCAATTGAGTCGCGTGCCTTTGAACGGCGGGAATTTGTGGCTCTGACCAGATAGCTGTGGAGTGGCGAATTTTCTTCTGCATTTTAAGTTTTTTTTTGTTTTAGCAGACGAGCTTGTGACATGGATCGATGTGGCAATGTTGTTTTTTTTTTTTTTTCGTTTTGGCCAACGATGTAGTAATGTTGTTTGTTGTAATGATTCTCTCGTGGCGCTTCGCTTGTGAAGATTGCCGGTGCCGGTGATAAGCGTGGGGAATTTGACTTGGGGAGGCAATGGGAAGACGCCGATGGTCGAGTTCATTGCAGCTTTGCTTGCTGATTCCGGCATTTCGCCTCTTATTCTCACCAGGGTATGTTTTTTCCTTCTCTCTGCTGGTTCTACTTGAAGTTCGTAATGACTCGGTCTTTGAATGTTTGAAATTACTTCTAAATGGTCGGGTTGGATGGAAATTTCTTAGAAAGTTACGGTTTCAGTGTGAACCATAAAGAGAAGCTAAGACGATACTGCTTTGTCTCCTATGAAGGGCTAAACATGGGAGTTCTACAGCGTTCTTTAGGTGGCCCTTGCATTTTAGTTGATTATGAGATTTATCAAGCAGAGTAATAAACCAGATAGGGCCTGCAACTCCAATGGCAAATGGTTTATGCTCTCAAGGAGTGATCTTTGTTTGGCATGTTCTCCTGGACAGGGTTATGCTGGTGGGGATGAAGCTAGAATGCTTCAAAGGCATCTCCTTGGGAAGTCAGCAAATGTTGGTGTCGGCGCTAATCGAGCAGCAACCGCTGCTGCTTTCATCGAAAAGTATGGTTACCGTGACCCTCGTACCTGTGAACATCTCGAAGGAGACTCCACTGACCAGAAAATGGGGGGAAAAGCGGGGAGCAATGGTCAAATTCGTTTCAATCACTGCTGTGAGGAAATTGGTGCTGCAATTCTAGATGATGGAATGCAGGTCTAGCATTAAATATTGTGTCTTTCAGTTGTTATGATACAGCAGTCATCATGTATGGAAAGCTTTCTCCTGGCTACTTGTGGTCTTAGCTCAGTTTGTACTTTGATTTTCTCCATGGCAGCACTGGCAATTGTCACGTGATCTGGATATAGTGATGGTTAATGGGTTATGCCCATGGGGAAATCATCAGTTACTTCCACTCGGACCTCTGCGAGAACCTTTAACAGCACTTGGGAGAGCAAATATTGCTGTTATACATAACGCAGATCTGGTAAGTGTCCTCTGATTCTCATTTTTGTTCAGTTTTGTTTACTTTGTAGCATTGTGGAGTACAATGCATGTTTCCATTTCATACTCATGCAGTTCTGATGCTCGTGAGTTTGCATTAGTAGAGAGATATGGCGAGCTAGAATTTCATGTCTTGGTGCTTCACAGGTGCCTGAGCAAACTCTCGCAAGCATTGAGTCTGCTATTCGAGAAGTCAACAAATCTATAAAAGTTTTCTTCACTAGAATGGCTCCAGCATACTTCTTTGAAGTGGCAAACATGGATTCCGTTATACCTCTAGAGGCAGTGTCCAACAATGTTGTATTATGTGTCTCTGCAATTGGTTCTGCAGATGCTTTTGTCAAGAGTGTTGAAAAGGTATCCCATTTATTAAATTTTATCAGCGTATAAGGCAGTGCTTCTTGGTACTGGGTGAAAGGCTTCTTAATTCATGCTTAGTTTGATTTTGATGTAAAAAATCTCTGCAGCTTGGAGCCATTCATGTTGAACGCTTGGACTTCAGTGACCATCACTTATTTCAGACTATGGTAGAATCATCTCCTTTTTTTCTTTTCCGTTTTCGTGCATCACACTGAAGTTGGATGTCTGTTGCATTTTTACCCTTTGTTAGTCCCATAATTATGTCATGAGTGAGACCTGTGATGTGCTGATCTTATGATAACGATGGCTATGTCACTAGGCGCATTCCCTGATTAGTATAAGCTCCCTTTCAAGCGAGTTACTTGATGTTTCAACTGCTAACTACCAGTCAACTGCTTCAGAACTTTTACCTTTTGCTATCTCGATATGTTATTGATTTACCTTAGGTTTGTAGGAAATTGACATGATTAAGAAGCAGCTTAAGGACTTGGAGAGCAAATTCAGTTCCAGGCCAACCGTCATTGTTACAGAAAAGGTGAGGTGATCGTATTGCCAGGAGTCCCATTTATGCAGTTCTTACGAACCTAGATGGGTTGGGTTTCTGAATAATTTATCATATGGGTACCTCTTATAATATGCATGTCTAATTGCTAAATTTAAATCCTAGATACTATGCATTTTAAAGTGCACTGTGGGGGCATGCTCCTGAAATAAAAATTTTCCCACGAATTATCAAGTTATTCTCAATTTAGGTGCCTTGAGTGTTCCGCCATTCCAACAGTCTTTCTGAGTAAAAAACCAGGCAGCTACAAGAAACTCAATTTTCTCTGGCTGTCAAAACAGCCTGTATCATTATTGGGAATGTACTTCTAATGTTGCATTCTCGCAATACCTACCAGGATTATGATCGAGATCCAGAGATTTTGAAGCATCTAAGTCCTTACAAATCTTGGGCGCTCTCTGCTAAGTTGCAGTTTATACCTCACAAAGGATGCAGTGGAATTTGCTTCAAGAATTTATTGGAGGAACTACTGCAAGTAAAATTATCAGGTGTACCCTACACTTAAAGCTGGTGCCATGTAATATGGCAATTGTATGTGTCCACCTGCCTGCCTTCAGGTTTCCAGTGATCTGGAGGAGCAATGCTGCTAATTCGCATGATCGAGTCTGAACATCCTCAGCCTATGCAAAAAGACCATCAACCATCAATCTTCCTGTTCCTAGATCCTTTCACCCAAGTCCGTCTCGATCTATTATTCTAACAGATAAGGTATTGCCATCTGCTACTTGGCATCTGCAATCTCTCTCGTGTGTCAAAACTTTATTATTCTCATTTCTTGAGCTTTAGTACTTAAGGACAGCGCCAGGCTTTCGGATCCTTCTTTCATCCTAAATATCTGTTTGATATTCAGGTCGAAGAATCATCTCCCCATGAAGTTAAAATGATTTACAGGGGTTGCAGGAAGAAGTGCTTCTTCAACAAAGGAACCAGAGAAAAATCCAAACCCAGAAGTCGGAGCCTACGGGAATATGAAGCACATTTACCTTAGCTGCATAAATGCAAAAAAAATAAAAAAAAATAAAAACCCGAGCAGGTAGACAATACATATAACAGACAGTAATTTCACTTCTGTTATTGTATTATCCTTTCCCCTTTTTATACCAATCCAGTCCTCTTTTCCACTCGCGGATGTCGTTTGCTAGAACTCTGTGCATTTGTAGGAATTAGTCGAATTCCAACATAATCTTGGTAAAGTTCGTGCACGGTCCCCGGATCACTAATCACACGCAATATAGGATGGTCAATTTTCTTTCCTTATTATTGTCGAAGTTACAGGGAGTCGTGCCCGACAGAATATCTTCATTTTGAAGATGGTGGCATTTAGAGAACAGAAATGGACGATGAAAATGCGAACACGAAGCCGACCAAATGTAAATGTCAGCGTCGGGTGCTGTTGAAACCCCGTTTCTTCGTCATCCTCGAATTCGCTTGAGTTCCTCTATCTCTCTCTTCTTCTCCTCCCTCCGAGGATCTGCTTTTATCATCGTCCTCAGAATCCTCGCCTTCGTTTATCTTGTCGAACCCCATGTACTTCGATATCAAGTTGGGGACGACGAAGTTTGCTATGAAGTACGCTAACAGCATCACCGCACTGCAATCAACGCCGGGTCATCAACATAATACGCAACACTTCGCACAAGGAGCTCTGTTCGAGCAGGAGTGTCGAGGCGACTTACCCCGTTTGGAGGAACACCGATATGTCGCCCTTCAGCGGAGCAGCGTCGGTGAGAGCAGAGCCGTATTGATCGGCAATTGCGCTGGTTCCGAAAGGGAGCTCTCGTCGCCACTGCCTACGGAGGGGAAAGCGTGGACGGCGGTCCACGGAGGGCGAGAGGAGGTCGCGTTTCGCTTTCATGGAGGAGCGGGCGTTGCGAGGGAGGTGGGTAGGAGGAGAGAGAAGAAGCTTTGAGTGGCAATGGCATGACGGCGTGAAGCTCATTGGGGAATTTTCCTTCTCGGTTTGCAGTAGAACAAGAACAACCACCGCCAGCAGCGGCAGCAACAGCGAGCTGAGACGAGACCTGAAGCAAAATCTGGAGATAAGGAGATATTTTTTGGGTACGGGCCAGCCAATGTGAGCGGGCCATGCCAAACGATAAAATCGCTAACTAGGCCTGTCCATTTCGCTCTTCATGGTAATTATAAAACTCCTTCAATCTTTGAAATCGCACCGAGAAAGAGTTGAAGTCGGGCACAAGAATGCTCGTGTCAATCATTTCGAGTTTCACCCGTGGCGAATTCCATTTCAACCGTCAAACTTTAGGTGGACGACCGCGCTAGTGTTGGGAGCGCTCAGCAGAAGCCTGCTCAGGGAGATATTCGCCTTTTATTGGGAGTAGGGGTGAGCATGATCTGGGTGGGCGGTTTCCATCCTTGAACCGAGAACCGCCCACTAGGGACCAGTTCCGAAAAATTGAAACCGGGAATCGCCCATTAGTTCCATAGACCCACTAGCCAAAGACGGAGATGGAGACGGAGACGGAGACGGTAAGGTGAGTATCGACCGAGAAGAGTAAGAGAGTGAGAGTGAGCGTGAGCGTGAGGCAAAAGCGAAAGAAGGTGTTTCTCGGCTCAATACGAGGCTATGAGCGTCAAGCGAGTTAGGTTTAGTTTAGAGATTTAAGATTTATTTCTTTTTTAATTAAAAATTAATTAAATAAATAAAAATATATTATATATTGTTATTATATTACCGGTCCGGTCCGGTCCGAGTGGGCAGGTGGGCGGTTCCACACCTGGAAGCCGGTACCCACCGGTTCCGAAAAATTGGAACCGGGAACCAGACATGTTCCCTTAGGAACCACCGGTTCCGGTCCTGTTCCGGGGCCGTCTCGGGCGGTCCGGGCGGTTTCTGGTTCTTTTGCACACTCCTAGTTGGGAGCGCACAGCAAGAACCCAGTACCTTTGCCTGGGAATTGCTAAGAGAGAGTTCAAGTCCGAGCCTGTGAACATATTCGGTTGGATTCAATTTCCTTCAAAAGCTTAAGCTAATAAATTATGTGTCAATTTGGATATAGTAACTGCTTAACACCACACAAATTTTTTCAGATGTAGGGCTATTCTAGCATAACTCACGCATACATCCTAACATCCAATGAGGCTCGGGCAATGCCGCGTCCTTTGAAATCGATAATTAATGACGGATGCTCAATTTTTCATGACATTTAATCTTGACGGTGCCTAAATATGGTCCCCCGGGCTTTGTTTCCGTGGAAGCTGTGTATTGCATCCCTTTATTCTTTTTGACCTTTGGGGTTTATAGTCTTCACGGGACCAAACTTCTACTGTTGTAGAGCGAGAGAGAGATCATGGAATGGGACCGTCGCGTCAAAGAAGCGGCTTCAACCCCAGTTGCGGAAACGGACCGATGCACATAAGCTGGATCGAAAAAGTCTTCACGACTCAAAAGTCTGCATGCACAGATTGCACGAACAGAGAGAGAGAGAGAGAGAGAGAGAGAAGGTGGTGGAACCTCTCTCCTCGAGATCGAATTGCAAGTGGGGGGCGACATTGAAGCAGTTCACTTCGTTTCTAGGAGGGACTACTTAGTTGACTTTGACATCAATGTATGGGTTAAACTGGATCACAAGTCACAACACGTGTTTGTAGCTGAGGAGATGAGCGGCATTCATTCAAGGACCCTCTCCCTCCCTCTCCCTCCCGCTGTCTCTCTATCTCAACCGTACTTCTTCTTTCATTAGTTCTCTTTAGCCTCACTTCTTCTATATAAGTCCCTCTCTCGACCCTCCAGTCCTCGCCAACAATTCTATACCATTACTCTGATATTGGGTGCTGAGCATTGTGACTGATAATGCTTTCCAAGTTGGTTCTTGCTGTTGTGCTAGTGAGTGCTCTTGTTTGCTCCACCGGCGCTAGGAAGCTTGCGAGCGCAAGGCCTGATCCTTTTGCGGAAGAGAAGACATTCTTCCGACGCTCTAGGTATGGTGTCGGCCTTGGCAGGGGAGGCAGGGGCGGTTTTGGAGGTGGAGGTGGCTTGGGGGGTGGCGCCGGGTTAGGTGGCGGCGCTGGCTTGGGAGGAGGCGCTGGCACCAGTGGCGGTCTCGGTGGAGGAGGCGGAGGAGGAGTGGGTGGCGGGTTTGGCGGTGGAGCTGGTGGAGGGTTCGGGGGAGGGGCAGGAGCAGGAGGTGGTGGGGCAGGGGGGGGCGGTGGAGCCGGAGGAGGATTCGGCCGGGGTGCTGGTGGTGGCTTTGGAGGTGGATTTCCTTGAAGAATTGCCGAAACTAGACCTGCACTACTAATCTATGCACGCTCTGCTAAATAATGTTGCACTCCGTGCATAATTGTTTCCACCGATTCATCGTTCACCTGTATGTTTGATTTGATCATCATGAAAAAAAAAAAAGTTCCATCCCGATCAAAAATACCGAATATTAATCGATATAGCTTCACATACGATGGTTCAAATCGAAATTACTCGAAACAACCAATACGGTGTCCATGCTCGTCTCAAACACTCTATTACATTAATCTCGTGTCGTGCATATACTTATATCAGAGATTACATTGAGTACAAAACGTGGATATGTATCGTAGTTTTGTAGATCAAACAGGGAATCAAGGGTTGCTTGGCCTCCAAAAGGTTCTTTGTTAAGAAGCTCACTTCAACGCACAGATTTGCTTCACAATCAAATATCAAAACGTTGAACGCATTAATTTCCCTAAGGGGAGAAGGTATCCCGTGCTCCCATTTCAACGGAAAAGTACATATTCTTTACCTCACAGCCTGAGCCGAACCTCGTCAGCAAAAAGCCCTCATGCTATATTAAGGGGCAGTCTCCTCAGACATGAACACATTCATTCTTGACTTCTCAAAATCGTTTTTGACTCTCTCTCTCTCTTTCTCTCTGTTGGAGAAGATGACTCAACTATTATTTGGCCTTGTGTTCATGGAGATGGCTTTGATAGTTGTCCTCCTCTTTAGAAGTCCGCTGAGGATGCTGCTGATGCTGGGGCTCGACCGGATGAAGCGGGGAAGAGCGCGGCTCGTCGCGGGGACCTTGGCGACGACCATGGTGGTCGTGTTCAGTTCGGCGGTCTATAACGTCTTGGGCGTTCAGAGACGCCTGACCGATGCGGCCATAATCAACCCGACCGATGAGGTTCTCATGGCGCATAGCCTTCTGGAAGCGTCTCTCATGGGTAAATCACAAAACCATGCATTTTTTTTTATACCTGTGACGCGACTATCATAAGATATATAAGATAGTTGCGAGTAGCTAACTCTATTGCGTGGTCTATTGTCAAAGGATATTCTCATATACAATATACAATTTCTCTTAGTAGCTAAGCGGGGATGTTTTCCACAGCAAAAGAAAATGGGTTAATACAATGAAAAATCATAAACTGATACACCTGTGATAAATTTACCCCAAACCGGTATACATGTGACATTTACCCTCCGTTAGTTTCCGTTAAATTTTACCGTCAAATTGCTGAATTGGATGACATACGACAGTTGATAGGTGTATTAGTTTGGGATTTTATCCTCTGTTTGTTACATGTGTACTAATTTGTGATTTTTCGTGATATTAATATAATTTAACAGAAACTAACGGAGGGTAAATTTGTCACAAATATGTCAATTTGCGATTTTTTTTGTCAAAAAATTAATTTGAGGTAAATTGTCACAGGTGTACCAGTTTGGAGTTTTTGGTATTTAAAAATTTGGTTTGGGATAAATTTGTCACTGGGGTACCAGTTTGGGATTTTCGTGATATTAACCCAAAGAAAATTGCGGATACGTCACGAAGGAAAAATTGGGGTTTATTTTCTTAAATTAAAATCTTTTTTTGGTCGAAAAATTAATTTTTCTTGTGGACTATAGTATGGGCCAAGGCCTCAATGGGCTTCATAGGCCCAGCCAGCACTATGACAAGCCTGGACAAAATCTTTTGGCCCATCGTCCTCAAATTCCGATGTTTTCAGCTTTCGACATTAGTCAAGCTCGTGCAAGTGGCTTCCGTCGTACCTATTCAAACGGTTTGAATCAAGCCCGAGACCGTCACGAACTTTCTTTCGCTCTTTAGACCAGATCAAGTCGTTATTTTCGTACGCTTCGATGCGATTCTGGTCTGGTGCGATGCCCCCGTTGATTTGATCTAGTTGTCGGTCGGCTTTTTTCCGAGCACGGCAAGTCGAGCTCGAAGCTAACTCGGTTCGAAGTGTCGTCGGTGCAGGCTTCTCTCTGTTCCTTGGCATATTGATAGACAGGTTGCATTACTACGTGAAGGAGATCTACCTGTTGAGGAACAACTTCGAAGCAACCAAGAAATGGAAAAGAGATTACGTGGAGATGGATAGCTTTGGACCGTCGAAGACCCTCCATCAGACGAGGACCGAGCTAGCTCCGATGAAAACCTAGCACGCGATTCGGGTGAAGAGAGACCCGCGTGTTAATTAATCGTATCTCGACGCACTGTATATTCGTTAGCGAACGCTTCGATAACCAAGGACGATTATCGCTCCGACGGGGTTGTGAAGACCGAATTTATCGTCATCTCAATTGTACATATAAAAAATTACCGCACTGACTATCGCTAATATCGTCCGGCAAGAGTTCAAATTGAAATTTTCAGCCCCTTTTTTCTTTTCTCATTGATTAGATACCGATTTAACTCGACTTATCTAATTGATGAAGAAAAGGAATTTGACATCTGTGTAACAAACCCGTTGACCTCCTCCAAGTCAAAGTCTTCCCTTATCCCCAGAGCAAATTATGCGTATGCGAGGTTGACTTGCCTATCCAAACACCAACTCCTCTTTAATAATTCGCGAGCTCTATTATAGGACGATGCTCGCAAAGACTGCCTTAATCCAAACGAATTAAGACTAAAAGTAAAATTGCAAAAAATCGAAGCACGCCTTTTCGACCTGTCGAAGGTTGAGCGAATAGCACATAATGGATGATGTTGTTGAATTAAAATAGATTACCGGATGAGAATAAAGTTTGCTAGGAAAAGAAAAGGAGAAGAGGTTCCCAAGACCTCGATCGAACATGAGTTCCGATCGATACTTTCTTGGCATTGGCGGGTCGATCTAATTATCGGTTCGATTGGACACGTGTCCTGCTCTGCAATAAGTTATTAGGATCACCGAATTTTGAAGAGATAATCAATTTAGCTGTTTTACTTGAGGATTATAGTACAATGGTCCATAAACTTTAATCCAACGTGCAATGTTGTGCCTAAATTTTAATTTGAGTAATGTGGTCCCTGAACTTTGGTTTAATGTGCTATTTCGCTCTTAGACTTTTAATTTGGTCAATATGGTTCTTGAACTTTGATCCAATATGTAATATCATTCATAAACTTTTAATTTGTGCAATGCGATATTTGAACTTTGGTTCAATAAGCAATATCGTCTCTAAACTTTTAATTTATTCAATGTAGTCCATGAACTATTGGTAAATGTTCAGTATAGTTCCTAAATATATGAAAATGTTTAAAAGCTAACTGATCACATCGAACAAATTAAAAGTTCAAGAAAGACATTGCGCATCAAATTAAAGTTCGGGAACTATTCGTGTCGTTTTCCCTTTTACGCGTATTGAAAATCTTAAAACTTGTCACGGAAGTACAATTGAGTCCTCAAATTGGTCCGATCAAGTCCTTCTATCGATTACACTTTTTGAAAGTCTCACGACTCGATTGCACCTTCGTGACAAGTTTTAGGACTCTGATCGTACTTTTTGAATGTTTGTAGGACTCAACTGCACTTTCGCGATAAGTTTCGGGACTTTCGGTGCACTTATCCGTTGCGTAAGCATAAAAGAAGGCTAAATTATTAATAGATTAAGATCGGGGGCAAAAGCGCCTGCCAAAATGTCCAAATCTAAATACCCAACTTTGTTCTTTGTTCTTTGTTCTCCTCCATTCAATATTCTTCCAATTGGAAACGTTCAAATCGCGCACAATCTGTCTGATCCCCCGCACACCACGTTGACCCCCAGGAAGTCATTGATAGCCCTTCACATCGGCAAGCACCCCCCCTAGCATTATCTTTAACTCTTTTTATTTATTTATTTTAATTAAAATAAAATAAAATAAAATAAAAAGGGCTGACTTTGTAAAAGAGTTGGTGCTTAAATGAAGGGCTACGACTTGCTTGACTTTTGACGACATCGTTGGTTGTGAAGAAAGGCGTTGACCTTTCCTCCTGTCCCTGTTTTTTAGGGTTTCCCAAGTTGCGATGCCGACGGTGATGGCCGACGCTCGCGAAAGACCGCCCGCTGTCAAATCATTGATCACCGGAGACATCGGTGGTCCGGCGGAGTCAACGGTCGGTGGCGGAGGAGCGAAACCCCGTACGCCATGACACCGTCAAAGGAGGAATAATTCCGTACGATTCCCAAGCACCATCTCACTCTTTCATATTTCCCCATTGTTTAGATACGGTTTTGAGCACACCCATTTCCAATTAATCTTGATGTCGGAACGAGTTCCGCGGGCGTGGATAGCAAACATAAGACGTGTATCTATCGGAGGCCCGATCGGACGTATGTATCCCGTTTCTCTATCTAGCTTTACAAAGAAGAAAATAACGTTTCATTTGAAAGAAAAAATTACTCGTAAAATGTAATTTGAAGTACAAGAACATGAACGACGATGTACATAGAAGGGAACGTATTTGAGAGGCGAATTAGTAAAATCTCATTCTTTTCCTCGAAAGTGAGGTTTTTGGTATATGGTAATTAGCCCCGAAATCATCTTCAGAGTCCACAAATGAATCTTCTTTTGAAACTATACCACCGGTGATAATGCAACTAGCAAGAGAATTATAAGAATAATGAGAATTGTCATCACACTAAGAACGCTCTGACTCTTCTTCATCGCTGGTCGGATCGGTGATCAGAGCATTGCCAGTCGGTCGCGAAATGTATGTGTCTTCCTCTTCAAGATGGTTGCTTCTCCCTGGGATCCACTCTTCATCCAAGACCCCTCTTGGTGAATTCTTGGTGAATTCCTCGAACACGAGTCCCGATCGGTACTTTCTCGGCGTTGGCAGGTAAATCTAACTATCGATTCGACCGAACGCACGTTCTGCTCCGCCACCAGCCCACACACTAGCCAGTCATTAGGATCACCAAATTTCGAAAAAAAAACCGATATAACTTTTTACTTGCGTGAACACAAGGCTACGGCATCGGCGTACAGCTTTTTTGTCCAAAAATAATAGATCCAACGAGGAATCGGAACAAGAACACGATTAGCGGTGTACAAATATGAGATGATAAATTATGATAGATATGTCCAAAAATCTAATGCCCACTTTGTACTTGTCCTCCTCCTCCTCCATTCGATATCCACAAAAGCCAAAGCGCAAAGAAGCTGAGACTCTGTTCTTCCAATCGGGGCGTTCGAAATGGGCTCAACTTGGTCTGGATTCCACGCCACGTTGACCCCAAAAAGTCCTTTTCCCTTTTTTTATTTATTTATATAATTTGAAAAGAAAAGGGCTGACTTCGTAAGAGTTGGTGCTAAACAGAAGATGAACATCGAGAAAAAAAGGTTTTAAGGGGTTTTTCGGTGAGCGTGTTATGTTTACGAAAATGCATCTAGACCGTTAAATCTAGCGAGCCTTGCATGAATCTCACCAAATCTTAATGACCACTTGTAGGAGTGATCGATGGTGGAACTGAGAACCGGACCGGAAGGACCGGTTGGTCCTAGGATCGGGAACCGAACTGGACCGGACCAATTCGGTTCGGTCCAATGAAACCCGTCACTCAGGGTTTCATTTATATTTTACTAATTTTTGTCAATGAAGTTCACTTAAGGTTTAGTTCACATTTTACTAATTTTTGTCAATTAAGTTCATTTAAAGTTTAGTTCACATTTTACTAATTTTTTCAAAGAAATAAAAAAAGCATTTATAGTCACTCCGGGTTCCCTTTTAGGAGCTGGGCACCGGACTGACACTCCCAGGAACCGGATCCAACCAGCCGGTTCGATCCGGTTCGGACGATTCTCGATTTGGGTGGTCCGTTTTGCACACTCCTAATCACTTGGAAGAAGTCAATGGGATTGGTACGAAATCAATAGGAACATCCAGGAACTCAAACTACTTTTCAGGCTTCGGTGATGAATCTGTAAGTGGCGGAACTTGAAAGAAGAAACTCTCAGACGAATACTGTTTGTAGGTAAAACAAAAAAACGCAGGGAAGTAAGCAAAGCTTTCAAATTCAGATGAAGAACTTGCAATTCAACCGGAATCAGTAATTTCATTCTCTTCCTCATAAGCGAGGTCGCTTAGTACATTGTTGTTGTCCCTGAAATCATCTTCAGAGTCCACAAATGAATCTTCTTTAAAAATTACACCGCCGACGATAGCGCGATTATGAAGAGAATAATGAGAATAATAAGAATTGTCATCGCATAGAGAGCTCTGCAACTCTTCCTCGTCGCTGATTGAATCGGCGAAGGGAGGAGGAGCATCGTCGACTGGTCGCGAGATTTCTCCCGCTTCCTCTTTATGATGGTCATTCAGAGTTCGAGAAAGTACACGGCGCGTTGCCATTATTCGGGGCACAAAAACCTCATGCTTAGTGCCCATCAGGAAAGTAATGCGGCGATAGGTACAGACCGATGTCGCATTTCCACTTCGATAACAAATCAAACCAAATAAAAATGGTTGAAATTCTCCAAAATAAAACCATTCTAGGATATTAAAGTTAGGGACGATAACAAATCCACCCCAAAATACTTTTTTAATTAAAAAAAAAAATCTAATTTTTAGGTTCAGTCCAAATTTGCTCTGAACTTTTTTTTGTCTTAAAAAAAAACCCAATTACTTTGTTGATGTGGATTTGTTATTGATGTGGAAGTGCCACATCAAGTTGGGACTGGATCATAGAGTATATTTTTGAAAATTGAATTTTGGTGATTTTTTTTACACAAAACAGAATTCGGGGCAGATTTGGGACTTGACTTAAAGTTTGAGGTTTTTTTTAAACAAAAAAAAGTTCGAGGCAGATTTGGGACTGAACTTAAAGTTTGGAGTTTTTTTTTAGACAAAAAAAAGTTTGGGGCAGATTTAGGACTTGACCTAAAATTGGAGGTTTTTTAGGGAATTAGGCCAACCTCGGCCTATCCTCTTTTTATTTATTTATGTATTTATTTAATTATTTATCTATTTATTTGTTTTTTTTTAAATAAAAGGGCGGGCTGACCATGTAAAAGAGTTGGTGCTTAAATGAAGGGCTACGACTTGCTTGACTTTTGACAAGATCGTCGGTTGCGGAGAAAGGCGTTGACCTTATCTCCTGTCCCTTTTTTAAGTTCTCCCAAGTTGCGACGCGACGGGGATGGCCGACGCTCGCGAAAGACCGCCCGCCGTCAAATCATTGAGCACCGGAGACGTCGGTGGTCCGGCGGAGTCAACGGTCGGTGGCGGAGGGGCCAAGCCCCGTACGCCACCGCGCCGCTTCTGACGTGGTCAAAGGAGGAGGAACAATTCCGTGCGTGCCGAATCGAGTACGATCCCCAAAGCACCATCTCTCACTCTTTTCATATTTCCCCTTTGTTCAGGTAGGTTTTTTTGGCACGCCCGTTTCTACTTAATTTCGATGTCGGATCGAGCTCCGCGAACATAGGTAGCAACATAAGACGTCAATCTATGGATTGTCCGATCGAACTTATATATCCCGTTTCTTTATCTAGCTTTACAAAGAGAAAAAAAAAAATACTCTCGCAAAATGTAATTTAAAGTACATGTACATGTAAAAGACCATGCATATCGAAGAAAGTGTATGGAGAGGTTTTTGGTGAGTGTGTTATATTTACGGAAATGCATACGGACCATTTCATCCGGCGAGCCTCACGTGGATCTCACCAGATCTGACAGTTCAAAATGGGGTTTCGATGCATCGACCTGGCGGATCGAACGAGTTCCCCTTCTCTGTGATTCCTAACCATCCCATGAACAAGCAGCGGGGTTTTGTTCATTTGTCCCCAAAAGAGAGAAATGGCTCTTGGAAGAAGAAGACAATGGCGTTGGTATCGACTGGACAACCAGGAACAGGAACTTCCTTTCAGGCTTCGGTGAAAGATCCGAAGTGGCAGAACTTGAAGAAACTCTTCAGACACAGATGTTCTTTTTTGTAGGGAAGAAAACGCAGAGAAGTAAGGAAATCAGTTGGAAAAGGGGCGTTCAAATTCGGAACCGAATCAGTAATCTCATTCTCTTCCTCAAAAGTGAGGTCTCTAGGTACATGGCAATTTGTCCCTGAAATCATCTTCTCCGTCCACAAATGAATCTTTCTTTCGAAACTACACCACCGGTGATAGTGCAACTACTATCAAGAGAATTATAAGAATAACGAAAATTGTCATCGCACGGAGAGCGCTCCGACTCTTCCTCATCGCCAGTCGGATCGGTGATCGGAGCATTGCTGGTTGGTCGCAAATTGTATGTGTCTTCCTCTTCACAATGGTCGCTTCCCACTGTGATCCACTCTTTATCCAAGACCCCACTTGGTGAATTCCTCATGCATAAGTCCCGATCAGTACTTTCTTGGCATTGGCAGGTAGATTTCACCATCGATTCGACCGGACGCATGTTCCGCTCCACCACCGGCACCCACACTAGCCAGTTATTAGGATCACTAAAATTTCTAAGATTTAACTGATATGACTTTTTACTCGCGTGGACCCAAGACGACGGCATCGAAGTACAACTTTTTTGTCCAAAAACAATAGATCCAACAAGGAATCGGAACAAGAACATGATTAGCGGTGTACAGATATGAGATGATAAATTGTGATGGATATGTCCAAAAATCTAATAACCACTTTGTTCTTGTCTTCCTTCTCCTCCATTCGATATCACAAAAGCCAAAGCGCAAAGAAGTTGACTTTCTCTGTTCTAACTGTTGGGGCGTTCGAAATGGGCACAACTGGTCTGGACTCCACACCATGTTGACCCCAAAAAGTCCATTCCCCTTTTTATTTATTTATGTAATTTGAAAAGAAAAGGGCTGACTTTGTAAGAGCTGGCGCTTAATTGAAGATGAACATCGAGACCAAAAAACAGGTGTTAAGTGGTTTTCAGCGAGTGTGTCGTGTTTACAAAAACGTATCTAGACCGTGAAATCAAGCGAGCCTCGCACGAATCTCACCAAATCTTAAGGCTCCCTTGGAAGAAGCCGAAATGGCATTGGTATCAATAGGAACAACCAGGAACACAACCTACTTTTCAAGCTTCAGTGATTGAATCTGGAAGTGGCAGAGCTCAAAAGAAAGTAGGGGTGGTTGGTTTCCAGTTCGGTCCGGTTTTGGTTCCGATCCAATGGAACTGGTCACTTAGGGTTTAGTTTATATTTTATTGATTTTTCTCAATGAATATATGTCAATAAAGTTCACTTAGGTTTTAGTTCACATTTTACTAATTTTTTTGAATAAATAAAAAAATAAAAAAACGTTGATTCGGTTCCCTCATGGAACCAGGAATCGGATTGTCAGGACACCGGTTCCACTTTTAGGAATCGAGAACCAGACCGACACTCTCGGGAACTGGACCAAACTGGCCAGTTCAATCCGATCCGGGCGATTCCCGGTTTGTGCGGTCCGTTTTGCACACACCTAAAAAGAAACTCTCAGACAAATATTCTTTGTAGGGAAAAAAAAACACGCAGGGAAGTAAGCAAAGCTTTCAAATTAAGATGAAGAACTTGCAATTCAACCGAATCAGTAATTTCATTCTCTTCCTCATAAGCGAGGTCGCTTAGTACATTGTTGTTGTCCCTGAAATCATCTTCAAAGTCCACAAATGAATCTTCTTTAAAAATTACACCGCCGACAATAGCGCGATTATGAAGAGAAAAATGAGAATCGTCATCGCCCAGAGCGCTCTGCAACTCATCCTCGTCGCTGATCGAATCGGCGAAGGGAGGAGGAGCATGGTCAGCTGGTCGCGAGATTTCTCCGGCTTCCTCCTTATGATGGTCATCACTTCTCACTGTGATCCACTCTTCTTCGTCCGATGCCCCGTCAGGTAAACTCCAATTAGCTGAAGAAGACTCGCAGTCATCTATCAGCCTCTGTATCCTCTCCGTCGCGGGAGTCGAAGAACACGAGCACGGATCGACAACGCCGGAACCATTTCGGTTTCTCGGGCTCTCCCACACGTCCACCGAATCCCAGAACCCCGAATCCAGCACCCCACTTGGTGAATTCCTGGTGAACTCCTCCTCAGATATATCAAGAAATGGGTGTTCGAGCAACTCTTTCACTGTCCACCTCTCTCTCGGGTCTCTCATCAAGCACTTGGCCAGAAAGTCCCTCCCGCTGTCCGACAGCCGCCGCGGGATCTCCGGCGCGTCGCTCGAGAACCCGATCCGGTAGAGAACCGACACCGGGTCCGACTCGGCCCACGGGCCTTTCCCAGTGGCCATCTCGATGAAGGTACAACCGACGCTCCACACGTCCGACGGGAAACTCTGCTCTTCGTTGCGAGCCACTTCCGGCGCCATAAACATCGGCGTACCCGAGAAGACGTCGGAGGAAACCATCGTGTGCTCCGGCAGCACGGCATTCTCTCCACACGCATTGCGAGTCTCTCGCGAGTCCACTCCAGAGAACGGGTGAGATGCAGAGAGCATGCGGCTGGACGGTCGCGTTTCGACGAATCTGGCGCAACCCAAGTCCGCAATCTTCAGGCCATCGCTACCCATCAACAAATTCTGGCTCTTGACATCGCCGTGAACCACCCCGTTCTCGTGAAGATACGCCAAGCCCCGCAAGATCTTCCTCGCGTGCGATCGAATCTCGGGCTCATCCAAGCGGCCCCCGCGGCGCCGGATCTCGTCGGACAGCGTGCCCGCGGGCAAGTACTCCGTCCACAGATTGTAGTAAACCTCGCCGCTTTCCCGAGTGACGTCGTGGCCCATGTACTTGACGATGTGAGGGGAAGCGAGCTCGGACAGGACAAGCCGCTCCCTCCGCAAGGGTGCCGACCGAGAGAGCTCGGCCGACTTGACGGCGAAGAGCTCGCCGGAGGGGACGGCGGTGGCGAGGGAGACGGCGGCGGAGGAGCCGCGGCCGACGGTCGGTCCACGGATCCACTCCATCGTTTTGAGAAAGGTCGAGACTTTGGGGAGGGTATAGGGGGAGGAGTTTCTTTACGTGATGGTGGTGGTGGTGGCGGGTCTGATTCTTGATGCCTGAGCGCGTGGTCAGTTGTTGGGTATTTATACGGGAGACTCGGAGGATGTTTTTTTGGCGGGTTTGGTCAAAGTCAGTAAAAAAAAAAAAAAAAACAGGGCAACCCAACGACAACGTCGACGACGACGACGACGACGAAGATTCTTCCGAAGTTCAACGCCAACTGTTCCTCTCTCTCTCTCTCCCTCCTCTCTTTTCGTTTCCTTCCTCCGCGTCGTTCATGCATCGTCCGCACGAAGTTGACGATTTCTTTTCTGTGTGCGCGCGTAGCGGGGAGACACGTGGCGAGCGGAGGAGGAGGGGGGGCGAGGGGGTGGGTGGAACACGTGCCGTGATTTCTGGGAATGATTCTCCTCCTCCCCCCGCCCAGAGCCATGATTAGCTCGGCAGATATGCGGCGGCAGCGGACAAAGCTGTGCGAAAAATGCCAGTGCATGTTAAGAGATGAGGAGTTGCTTAGCTGGTGGGTGTGGATTCAAGAAGTGGCGCGTACCTTTTGGTGTTGATCTGAACAAAGCGGAAAGAGACTTCGACTTTCCCCCCCGTTCAGCACCGTCGAAAGAGGGTCCCTTCGATTTTGGGTTCTCGAGTTTCGAGATTTTGGTTCTTCTGTTTTGATTTTGACTCGCTGGTTGTCCGAACAATTTTGTGGACAACGCGGGACGTTTCTGCGCCCCGCCCCCCCCCCGATTAACGGCGGCGCGTCGCGTGCGTATCGCGCGACATGCTTTCTCGAACTCTGAAGGTGCCCGTTTCGATTGGGTCCTCGCTAGCCAAAAGAAAGAGGAATTGAATCGTGCGCGTAACATTATATGCGCTGTCGCTGTGGTTGAATCGTGATGCGCTCACGAACTGATATGCTTGTAATTCTTGTTTCGGCGGCCTCGTAATGTCAAGATGGACCGTGCATCATTTCTCTTGGGCGGAATTCTAACTCACACCATTATCTAGGATCATCAGTCTTTAGTCATTAATAAAGATGTTTTTGTGAAGCATGATATCTAGATTAAATCCTCGGATGATAGTCACCATAGGCTTTTTTCCCCATCTGAACAGATCCTTACTCATTCTTTAAAACGATACTAGGAGAACAAAAACAATGTGAGTCTCCGGCGAAAGAAGAATATTTCGTTTAACGGTTATATCACGTGACAGTGACACGTGAAAAAGCACGTTAAAGGAATAGAGTTTCGAAATTCGAATGCAAAAATCATTTGGGATGCATATCACGCGTAATTGATACAAGTCAATCGTGCAATCCATGAAGAAATGCCTTTTCTTAAGAACACCCATCTCTAATCGTGCCATAGATAAAAGCTCCAAGGACCTCACCCATCTCTACCTGCTTTATCGGATCTTTCCCTGGTATTTTCAACGGAGAAAAAAAAGAGAAACCACTTCGACGAATCGACGAAGTAACATGATCAAGTGAAACGCAATTGAGTACAGGTGTTTGTAAGAGTTGACTATGCCGTTAAAGTAGACAGAAAGATAAAGAAAAGAGTCAATAGCGACTTGGGATGCGAAGGCAACCTTGATCATCGCGGAAGTGAGTTCTTGCGAACTCCATTGAAACTCCGAGAAACGTTATTTTATTACCTTCGGAATATAAAACTGCTGACCATGGACAGCACCAATGATTTGGATCTCTAAACAATCAATCACCGATCCCCGATAGTAAAGATATCATGAGGAGGAAGAGAGTCGGAAACTGCGGATGAAGAGGATAAGGTAGCTTTCACGTTGCCCATGATCGGCCTATGAAATACTATATAGATAGATTACTCGAATAAATACACAAGTCTAGATTCAATTTACTCGGACGAATACTCGAGTCTAGATCCAATCAATTCATGTAGTAAGGAACCCATCATTTGCCAGTACGGTTTCCAGCTCACAAAGGCAATGGAAACAGAAAATTTAAGTCATAAATGAAGCCAAATGCGGATCAACGTGTTGAGTTTGCTTGATCAGATCCAATCCTAACTTTACTTTACTTTTCTTTTCTCTTTCTTTTGGACATCCATCCTAACTTATTTCATTCACCCCTTTTTTTACGGAACAAAGAAGCGTGCAGTGGTTGCACATGCATTCGGTGCTTGTCCAATCTGTCACTCTTGGAGGTTGGGCATTTGGTAAATTCCAATGCCGTAGAGAAGTGATTGAGAATAACAGTATCCATGACCAATGTCATGATGAAAAGCAATGCAGTTCGGCACGTCAATCACTTTCGGTGCATCGAGTACATATATTCGTTTATTTTACGAAAAATGAATAATTTAAAAAATACTTTCCTAAAAATGATCCATTGTATCACTTACAAAAGTTAATGAACGAAAAATATTTTTATCGTCCATAAAAATGTTTAGACATAAATTACTGTCGATAATAAAAATATTTTCATTGTCTTTTTTTTTTGGTAAAGAAAATATTTTCATTGTCCATATAGTTCAAATGATACAATCGATTATTTTTAAGAAAATGTTTTTCAAATCATTCATTTTCTGCAAAACATACATAACAGACCGAAAGCAAGATTTCCTATGGACACTCGAGCCTCAATTCAACATTGTTATGAAGTAGATAAAGGCATGTACATTACATAAATTAATGTTCAAACAAGTAGCAAGACTACAGTACGAAATTAGTAAAAAGACAAGCTAATTCAGGAATTTAACAAAATCGACCAGTATAACAGAATCTGCTGCTGGAATACATACAGATGATATGGTCGGCATACAACAAGCGACGACCAGAAATCAGTCCTGTACAAAGTCTTGTTGTAATGCTTCCGTGCCAACGTCTCCAAGACGGTAGAGGTCACAGAACGGGATATTTACACACTTCTCAGTATATTTCTTTTGAATAGGTACTAGAACCTGCTGATACCATGACACGTCAAGACGTACCAAATCTATACATAGTTAGTACTAATGTATTACATGGTTAGCAAAAAAAAAAAAAACCAGAAGCACACCTTTTTTTTTTTTGCCAATTTTGCATTTCTCCATTTCCCTTCTTTCTTTTAATTTTTTTTATCCCATTAAGCAATGGTTTTTCTAGTTAACCTTGGTTCAACCACTTTCCCTTTTGACCTGTTTTTCAGTTTTTTTGCCAAGTACAGGTCAGGGCGTCCAAAAGAAACGGCACCCAACCATTACCCAGATGAATCAGTCCAGCCTGGGGCTTCTGTTTGATTTTATAAGACATTATTTACGGATCTCAATCAATGAAGTTAATATGCAATTTCTCCTCACAAAGTTCTCCAGAAGTTTCCATTCAAGATCATTATGGCATAAAATATCACAGGCTCTTATATATATAGAGAAACAAAGTTCCAGCGCCTTCTAATCGCTACTCAAAGGCTCTCCAATGTCATTCAGATGGAAGACATAGAAGGCCAATATGCAGTAGCATCTGAATAGATAATAAAGAAGTGAAAATGAAATTCAGAGTCCCTCCCAATGGGATGTGTAAAAAGAAAAGAATGGATCGGAGCATGGATCTTAATAGTCACCTTTTCAATTGCTTACACACTTACATGGATGATCTCATGTTGAATGTAAGGCTCTTGGCAACTAATATAAAAAATTGCGACGAGTTTTTTGTATCCGCTCTAGCAACTATCTATACTAAATATAGCACATTAAATCTTTATCAATCGCATTAGCAACTAAAATGTGCATTGCCTAACTATGTTTTTTGGTCAAACTTTCTCAATGTATATTGACAACTCCGAAGCATCATGATTCACGGGGGAGTTCAGGTTATGTTCTCTTGCAATATCTTTTAGCAACTATTGTCTATAACTGTTGAAGTATTTCCCACATCGATTGACAACGGGTCCTAAATGCTTTTTATATTCATGTGGTCTCCCTTCACCTAATAGCTTAAGCTTTTGGGTTGGACTTTCTAACATGGTATAAAAGTCAATGCTATCCCTTTCGCGAATGTGCGTGGTAAAAATTCATGTGAATGTGTGTAGTCAAATTTCACGTGCAGCTCACACATTATCCAACATCAATTGACAACGGGTCCTAAATGCTCTTTATATTCATGTAGTCTTCCTCCACCTAATAGCTTAAGCTTTTGGGTTGGACTTTCTAACAATAACAACAACTCCCTTATGACATTATTTCCACAATGCATGAAGAAAAGTTCACAATTCAAAACATCAGTCATTTTTTCCCCAAAAAAAAAAATCATTCATTAATACTTTGTCTAAGAATGAACGCAAAGCTTTGAAAGGAAAAAAAAAAAAAAAAGACAGACCAGCACAATTTTACATGTCATTTCATGAGAAGATTGCAGAAATTGATTCATATCAACATTCAGGAGTTACCTGCCAAGGTACAATTTTCAATGACGCATAACTTTTCATCAAATGCCTTCTTGTGCCACATCTGAAGAAGTCAGGGAGCATGTTTCCAAGAACTTAGTTGTGGACTTGACGTATTTGTCATGGGCACCTAAACATAACTCAGCTGTCGCAAGAAGCTTGAAGCAAATGTTGGATGTTTTAGGACCCTTCTGCTAGTCACACATAAGATAAACCTGGTTATCGCTAGGTTCATGCTTCTGCATGTAGTGATGCATTTATTTCATCAGACTTATAGAGATAATGTAAGCAGAAAAGGCAAAGGATCTGTGAGACAGGACAGTCAGTAGAATAAAATGCACACCACTTACCCTGAAGGAAGATGCAATGCAGTTGCAAGCTTCAAGGGCCATGATTCCGCGAGCAACCTTAGGGTAGCAGCACAAGTCAGCAATTATGTGCAACTGATAAGGCCATTATAGTAATCTCTAAAACCATCGATAATCATACTTACTGAAGAAGGCTCCCGTTGAATGGCATCAACCAACTTCTGAGCAGCTAGATTAGATATAGATACAAGTTCTTGTGAATAGGATGAATCGCCATAAAATAATTGGTCATTACCAGGAATCTGGAACAAAACATAAAGCATGTAGTCG